TGAATGTGCTGCATGCCGCTGAACTGTTGACTTTACAAAGGTAAAAATGGTGAATTTTATGTTAAGTGAATTCTATCACAATCTAAAACAACAAAGAGCCTGGGGCTGGGCCTGGCGGGCTCTGCTGGGATTTCAGACGGGAGCTGGGATCGGCGGGTGGACGGGGCCCGCTGGCCAGGGGCCACCCCAGCGGAGCAGACACAAGGACAGACGGGCCTGCTGGGGCCGTGCGAGGGGCCTGGCGCCGCTGCTCCCTGGCAGGCCCCACCCGGCTCTGGCGCTGTCTCCTGGCCGGGGGCCGGGCCCAGCCTGGCTCCTGTCGCCACACGCAGACCTGGGCACAGGTGCTGGCTCCTGGGCCGTAGCTGGTCAGGTGGTGGCTGGTTGTTCGGAGTGAGGGCAATGGTGACCGTCCCGTGTTGTCCTGTAGCCACACAAGACACAGTCGGCCTGTGTCAGCTGAACGTCCCCTTGAGTTTTACAGGCCAGGCCAGGCCAGGCTGGGGCGCAGAGAGGTGGCCTGCATACCCCATGGGTCTGGTGGAAGGGCAGTGTGTGTGGACGTGTGTGCGCGTCGTGAGTGCATGCTAGCGTGTGCATATAGTTTGCTTGTGTGTTGGGTACGTGCGTGCATGTGTGTACATGTACGTGCAGGTGTGTGTTCTGTGTGTGGCAGCCGCCTGGTCGTCCTGCACCCAGGGGCCCTGCCTTTCCCCGGGGGCGGGGCCGCTGCCACACTGGCCAGTTTCACTCTGAGGCCAGGGTGGAGGTTACTAATAGCACCAGGAATCCTTAAAACTCAGGACCGAGGGGGGTGCAGCCCGGGGTGACTCACCAGGGCTGACCGGGCTTCTCGACTCACGGGGAATCCGAGGAGGGTGTGGCCTCGTTCTCAGGCAACCTGTGTGTTTTCTGGACTTTCGTCCAAATGAAACCCATCGCCTGTGACACCCACGTTGCCCCCTGGGCCTCACCTTCCCCACTCCCAAGGGGGGCAGGCTGACCCCTCCACTGACCCCAAGACACCCTGAGCCAGTGGCGTTCCCTGGGTTCCTGTCCAGCCCCATGGGGCTCAGGGCTTGGTGCCTCATTGCCCCGAGCGATGGGGGCTTCCTCCTGCCACTCCTGCTCTCCCACGCCGGCGCCCTGAGGTGTGGTCACCCTCCCTGGGCGGGCCGGCTCTCACGCTGGCTCCTCCTGGCGCACTCACTGTTTGTCCTGGCTCCGCTGCGTCTTGTCTTCCGTTTGAACTGGGTTTTTGGGTTTAGGATCCATGGCCCTGGATTCCCAGTGGGCCAGTGGTATCAGGTAGGAAGCCGGCAGCCGCCTCCTTCCCCTGCAAGCGGGCCTGGAAAGTTCTGACCGCCCACTGGGAGGGAGGGTGGAGAGGGCCCGGGACCCCAGAGCCCCAGAGCTGCCTCTCAGGCGCCCTGGCGCCCGCACACACTCGCCCCAGAGCGCGGTGCCCGCTGGCTGCGAGTGAAGCCCGTCGCCGCCCTCCTGCAGGCCCAGGGAGGACCCAGGAACGAGGCTGCTTCCTGCGGGTCCGGCAGAGCCCCAGGCTGACCCCGAGGTCTTGGGAGCCTGTGCTGGGCCCCGGGTCTGGTGCGGGTGGCTGGCCGTCCCTCCAGGAGTGAAGTGCTGGTGGCTGTGCACACTCCACATGCATGCGGCCCCCTGCGACTGCGTGTAGCATGCAGAAGGTCCCCCGTGCAGGCTGATTCTGCGCAGCCTCTGGCTCAGGGCGTGCGCTGGTCCGTGCAGCTGTCCCCGGGTGTCCGTGGGCGACTGAGCAGCAGGGGGCTGGGGGTGTCGGCTGGCTGGACGCTGGGGTGCATATCTGAGCGCCAACGCAGCCCAGGTGGGCGGCAGCCACCATCCCCGTGGGGTCCCTGACCTGTCCCCGGCCAGAACCCCTGGTGAAGCTGCACATCTCTTTGGCCTCAGTGGGTCCTTTCGTGTGGGATTTGCTGTTTGATGATTTTCTTGCACGTGTTCTTCTGGAATCGGTCGCTGGGAGCCTTTTAGGGGAATACGTGTTTTGTGTTGGATCCTGACACGAGCCTAGAATTCGCAGCCTAAGGCTGTGGCGAGCGCCGTGGGAGCCCCCGTGGGGAGACTCCCAGCAGGGCACGGGGGCCATTCGCGTGAACGCGTCACCGCCGCCTGCCGTACCTCTTTCGGCGCCCTGTGACAGCTGGGTACGGCGTGCTGACAGTCCAGGCACGTGGACACGCCTGGGGTGAGGGTGGGTTCGGCGAGGCCGAGGGCTTGAGTAGGTTCCTGCGCAGGCCAGACCTCGTGCCCACCGTGGTCACCTGCTGCCCCTTGACCCTGGTTGAAGCCGGTTCCCGGACGTCCTCAGAGGCTGGGAGCCGGGTGGAAGCCCCTGAGTCACCGAGCACAAACCAACCCGGAGCGGCTCCCTGGTGGCTCCTGGGCGCAGTGGCAGTGGCGTCGTCCTGGAGGGTTCCCAGAATGCCAGAAAGCGCGAGGCAGAGCCAGCGCTGGCCTGCCCCTTGCAGCCCCGAGCCACAGTCTCGCGCTTCCCATTCTCCTTTCTGAGCTTGGGCAGGTCTGACGGCTTGAGGCTTCCCCGGGTGTGCGCCGGTCCCTGGACCCACGGACAGGACCCTGCTGGGCGGTGCCCCCCCACCCCCCCGCAGGGACCGGGAGGTGCAGGGCCGAGTGGGGACGCATAGGTGCAGGCCAAGAGCCGAGGGTCCCTCCGTGTGGGGTCTGTGCCGCCAGCCTCGTGCCTGTCCCCTGCTGCCTGGGGGCAACCACTCGAGTTTGGCCCTGGCTTCCTCTCCACCAAGGACAGGGATGGGGGACTGAGCTTCACGCCCAATTCTGTCCCCGTCGTCCTCGGCCCCTTCCCTGCGTGCCTGAACCCCTGGTCAGGCGCGGTGTGGGAGGGAGTCAGCGTGGGGTTTGCCGCTGACCATGTGAAGTCATCCCGACAGGAGAGGCTGCTGCAGCAGCGGTCCCCTCCCTGTGGCGTGGTTCCTGGGGGGCTGTCGCCACGTCTCACCACGCCCCGCGGTACCAGGCCACACAGCAGTGGTTGGAGCTGGTGGACGTCATCCCTGGGCAGGGGACGGAGCACGGGGCTGTGGACCTGGGCCGGCATCCGAGGAGGTGCTGGGTGTGCCGTGGCGCTTAATAGGTGCTTTGTGCCTGGCAGGGCCGTGGCCTGGGGTCCACGCTGCTGCTGTGTCTCCCGCCTCCCTCCCTCCAGGCTCCCGGGCCAGCGCAGTCCCTGTGAGCGCGTCTTGTGGCAGAGGGTGACAGCAGCAGTGGCTGAAGAGTAAAGGGAGACTTGTGCTCACACGCAGAAGCGTGCATGTGGCACATGTACACACACGTGGCTCACGCGGACACATGCTCATTCACACTCCGTGCACCCTCGGACCCGCACTCACACGCACTGGGTCACACACGGTGCCCCCAGGGGTCCGTCCCACCATGTTTTCCTTCAGACGTGAGCAGGAGGGGCGTCCTGCCCCAGGCAGCCCCTGGAGGACGGGTTGTCAGAAGGTGCCCCGCCCTCTTGGCAGGGACAGTCCCTCCTGCGCTGTGTCCACAGCACGTGGTCAGGGCTTGTCCCTGAAAACGGCCGCTCGGCAAGTCTTCGCCCCTCAAATGAGTGAGGTTCAGACCGCCCAGTGCCCCTCCATCTGCAGGCAGGACGGAGCCGTGTGCCCCAGAGGGTGGTCCCTCATGCCAACAGCGAGGGGCAGGCGGCTCGGAGGGTCCCCGGGGCGGGTGCCATTGCTCACTTCTTGTTCCCAGTGGCGCTGATTTGGGGGTGGGTCTTTGGGCTCTGGCGGCTTGGCGTCCAGGCTGGGTCTGGGGTTCATGGCTCGGCTGTGCCCCCGCAGGGGGTTTCTGACACGGCCAACTTGGCACCTCGGGGACACCTTGGTCATTCTCGCTGGTCTCGTGGCCAGGCCTCAGACAGAATCGGGGGAAGGCGGGAAACGCCAGCCGGGAAGGAAGTGCCGCCAAGCCCCTCAGCCGCCTCTGGGTCCCGCTCTCCGACTGAGGGGGAGCCCAGGCCCCTGCAGGGATTGAGGAGGGGCGGCTCTGCCCGACACCGGGTCACCCCAGACGCCACGCCCCAGAGCACCCCCATATGTGGGTGACCCTGAGCTGGTCTCGTTGACACCAGGCTGGAAATGGCCTCCGACTGCTGCCACCATTCTGATTTCTTTACCTGCCTTTTGCAAATGGGCCAAGGAGACATCAGTGTCCCTGACGCATCTCCGCTCGGGGACAACGTGCAGGACGTGAGCGCTGTGCAGAGTGCAGTCCCCAGGGCTCACGGGCAGCTGCAGGCGGTTGGGAGCCAGCTGGGGCAGCAGGCCGCCCTGGCCCATGTCCCCGGGCTGTGGCATGGGCCCGGGTCCTCTTTCTTCCCATGAACCTGGACGCCGAGGCCCCTCGGGTCAGGGAGGGTCACAGCCTGTCCCCAGGTGTGTCCCCAGGGGAGGTTTGTCCACCCTGCTTGGGGCCCACCGGACCACCGACCAGCCTGGGCTCCACGTGGGTAGGTCAGTGGTCATGCGTCTGTGAGGCAGGTGCATTTGAAGTCGGATGTTCACACTCACAAACTTGCACCTGGGGGGCCATGTGCACACGGGGCTCCTCCTGTCTCTCGCCTTTGTCCTGAATGTCCACTCGATGCACACCCTTGAGGTCCCTCCCAAAGATGCCGAGCGTCCCATGTCCCGAGTCCCTTGTCATTGGAGAATTCTGTTTCTCTTGGTGTCCCCTCCCCCGCCTCTCCCATGAGGCCCTGGCACCTCCAGGCCCCTCTGCCCACGGTCACGGCTTTCCTGGGCAGCAGAAAGAGCTTTGGTGGGCAGGAACCTCCGGCAGCCCCAAGACCACATGGCCCCCGGCGTGTCCTGCCTGCCGGCCTTCAGCCCCGGGCCGGGGCGGGCAGTGGTCTGGGGCGCTGACCTCTCCCTCTCCTGCCGTCCCGTCCCCCCCAGGAGACGTGCTCTTCCAGATGGCGGAAGTCCACAGGCAGATCCAAAACCAGCTGGAAGAAATGGTGAGTCCGGCCTCCTGGGGCGGCCCCTGGGGGAGGGGCAGTGTGGGTGTGGGCAGGGGCTGCTGGCGTCGGCGGAAGACCCAGCTGCGTGCTGTGGCCGTGTGTCCACTTGGGGACGTTTCATGCTGTGCAGCCACACTTAAGGGGGGGGACCCTGGGCCGAGGGGCACAGGAGGGCCCTGGAGAAGAGAGGGCTCGGGCCAGACCAGGGTCTCACGCACCACTGGCCCTGGCGGCAGGGACACAGCAGATCGGGCTCAGGGACAGTCCTGGTCACAGCCCCAGCCGGAAGCCACTCCTGTGGTGCGACGGGGCCGGAAAGTCAGATTTCCTCTGGATTTTCCCGACTGTAAACATAGGCAACCCAGACGCTGCCCTGAGCCAGTGTCCCCAGACCACAGCACGCTTTCTGGCCACCGGTTTGCAGCATCGAGGCTAAAGCTTGGTGGGGGGAGGTTGCTGGGGTCCCCCCGGTTTGTGTTCAGGCCCGTGACTCCCGTCACTCGTCCAGTGATCGGGGGCTGTCTCTGTCCCCCTCGAGAGAGACGGGGGACAGATGCCCGTGTGGCATTGAGGGCTGGGGCGGTTGATGTTCCCGACTGCGTCTGGTGCCAGCTCCTTGGTCTCCCGGGCCATGGGCCCCTCGGTCAGGCGGCTCCTGGCACGTCAGGGCACGTGGGGACTGTCCGCCCCCCTGCCCTGTCTCCTGCCCGGGCCGTGCGCGGGAGCTGACTGCTGGTTCGCTTCCTCCCCACGTCCAGCTGAAGTCTTTTCACAACGAGCTGCTCACGCAGCTGGAGCAGAAGGTGGAGCTGGACTCCAGGTACCTGAGTGTAAGTACACCCGGCTCCCCGCCCTGCCTTCACGTCCTTCTCTTCGTGCCCGTGTGAGACCCAGGGCCCCCGGCGTGCCCCAGCCGCAGGCCTGCGGGGAGCCCGTCCATCCCGACGCCCCAGGTGCCCAGTTCCAGCCACCTCTGCTTGGGCACTGTTGTAAAGCTGATGCCACGTGGGCCCCTCCAATCTCTGCAGTTCAGTGGGGTTCTCCCGGCCCCGTGGCTGCTCCCACCGCAGCGAGAGAACACGGGGTCCTGTTGGCGTTTCGTGCGCGAGTCTGGCTCTTGTGGTGGTGGGAGGCTGGGTCCTGGCTGCCTGTCCCGAGTCTGGTTTTCCTTTCCGGGGAGCAGAGAGCTGTCGTGGGGCCGGCAGAGGCTTCAGGGTGGTCCGGCACCCCCGCACAGCCTGGAAGCTGAGTCTTTGCAGCCGTCTTGCAGGGCCGGGCCCTGGCGGCTGCAGGGAGCCAGGAAGGGGTCCGGGCTGGTGAGTGGGGCTGGGCTGCGGCAGGCTCATGGGCTCGTGTGTTTGTCTTTGCCGTTGGAATCTCAGGCCGCGCTGAAGAAATACCAGACGGAGCAAAGGAGCAAAGGCGATGCCCTGGACAAGTGTCAGGCTGAGCTGAAGAAACTGCGCAAGAAGAGCCAGGGGAGCAAGAACCCGCAGAAGTACTCGGACAAGGAGCTGCAGGTGTGCCTGCATGCGGGGAGGGCGTGGCCTTGCAGCCCCCGTTGCGACTCTCCGCAGTGTTGCCCCCTTCCTTAGCAAGTGGGTGAAGGAGAGGAGCCCCCGTTTGCCCACAGGGGTGGACACCGGCCCCCAGGTGTGACTGGGCGGAGGCAGGCTGTGCTGTTCCGGTAGGTTCCAGAGCAGCAAGTGCCCAGCGTCCCAGAGCTGGCCCTGCGGCCTCTGCCTTGCTCACAGCAGCCACCCCCACCGGGGCTGGAAGGTTATCGGCCAAAGGAGGAGAACCCCAAATGAAATCCTGCCTCTCTGGTCCCTCTGGGCTCCTGCCCAGGAGTCAGGCACAGATGGTCACTCGAGTGCACTCGTGGTGGCCCCCAGGGCTGGCCGGGCATCTCCGCAGCCGCTGTGCCCCGCAGGGCCGGCTGTGCTGGCATTCCTGCTCTGTGCTGAGCAGGCTGGGACGTAGGACAGCGTGGCCCACGCAGGCACGGCCCAGCGCAGGGTGTGCACCGGAACCCGGGCTGGGCTGGTCACCTGGTGCAGACCACACCCAGAACCCCCGAAGTCATAAAAACGCAGACGAGGGGAGAAGGAAACAGGACACCTGGCTGTGTGTAACTCAGGTGGAAGCTTCCGGCGAGTGCCCTGGGCGGGCGTGGCTGGGGCTCGGGGTCCAGCCCTGGCCTCCGAGGCCCCACCCTTCCTATGGGTGCCAAGCCCGGCCAGCCCCACGCGGCCCTGCCGTGTGAACACGTGTTTGCCCGGATGTCCTCTGTGGAGTCTGTGTGCCTCGCCCACTGCAAGCACATTTTCCGCGGTCTTTGTCTTGATCCTTTGTATGACTGGCTGGGACCGGCCCTGGCCTGTCACACCTGTGAGTTGCCACCGGGAGCTGTTCTGGACGCTGCTGCACGGAGCCACCCTGCGGGGTGGAGGGCAGAGGAGGGGAGACGTGTACAGCAACGTACAGCACGCCGGGTTTTTGCTCTGACCCATGGTGTGTGTTGTGTTCTGTCTGAACGCCGGGGCAGCAGCCTCCTGGGCACAGGTGCGGGCACTGCAGGTGCGACTGTGGGCAGCCCTGAGCACCTGGCCAGGTGTGACAGAGCTGCTCGGAGGGAGCCTTCTGAGGGCTGAGTTGGTGGCCCAGGGACAGGAACACGGCAGCTGGCCCACCGGGGGCTCAGCCAGGATGGCGGGAGCCTGCGCCCCTCTCCTCAAGGTGCTGCGGGATTCTTTGGTGACGGCCTTACTGAGGTGCAAGTCACACGGCCAGCAGCTCCCCGCTAAAGGGTTCCAGTCCGAGGCGTGGAGTTTGCCCCGTCGATTTCGGAGCCCCAGTGCCATTTGCCCCGCCCCACCCCGAGGTCGCCAGCCTGCTGTCTGGGTCACCTTGCGCTGACATTCCGTGTGACCACACCCTACAGCATGCAGCTTGCGTGCTGCCGTCTTGCACAGAGTGCAGCGTTTCCGGGGCCGCCATGCGGTAGCGTGTCAGTGCGTGCACAGAGAGCAACGTTTCTGGGGTTACTGTGTGGTAGCATGTCAGTGTGTACCCAGTAATGTTTGCAGGGTCGCCATGCGGTAGTGTGTCTGTGCAGAGTGCAGCATGTCAGGGTCGCCGTGTGGTAGCGTGTCAGCTCGTGCACAGACTGCAGCGTGTCAGCGTGTCACTCCCTTGTCAGCGTCAGGGCTTCCTTTTCCTGGCTCAGTGACGTTCTGTCATCCGCGTGTCTGAGGCTCTGTCCTGCCCAGGCCGTGGTCCCCTCCCTGGCACAGCTGGCCCTGCCCTGTCTGGGTTCGCCAGGAGCCATGGAGGAGTGTCCTGCTGAAGGCCAGAGGTCGTGGCCAGGGCGCTGACCAGGTGTCCTGAGGCTCGGGAAAGGCCCGGGCTGAGCAGGGCCGGCTGTGGGCCGGCGGCGTCCCTCCTCCCCTCCCGCACAGCCCAGAGCCGCATAGGCTGGGCCTGCACCCACCCTCATTCCCTGCTGCACCACCCCCTGGTTTCTGGACACTTGTCCCCCTCCAAGCGTCTGCTCAGCAGAGCCCTGACCGTGCGCCTGGCCGCTGCTGCCCATGTCCCTGGCCCAGGTGCAGAGCCCACGGGTGGGGTTGCTTCTGGGCTGTGTACGCAGCACCGGCTCCCATGCAGGGACTGGGGAGGGGCCACTCCTTGCAGGCGCCGCCTGCTTGTTTGCTGTGTGCTCCCAGCCCTGCGGGACCTGGACGTGGGCCCTCTCTGTCCCTTCCATGGGGCTCCCTGGCCCCTCCAGTGCCTCAGTGGACCCGGGTGACTTGCCTGAGGGTCAGCTGACTCGAAGCCACCTTGGGCTGAGTGTGGAGTGACTTGGGGCTCCTGTCGGCCTGGGCGTGTGGGCTTTGTGGTCTGGGGAGGCAGGGGTGGGGGCCCAGGCTGGGTGAGGGTCCCGCAGGCGCCGGGCACAGACGTTTGGCGACAGAGCTAGAGCGGCCAGGGTAGGGCCCGCGGTGCTCTCCCACAACAAGCTTGGGCGACTCCAGGTTGGGAATCAGCCGAGGCAGGACTGGCTGTGCCAGCCGCAGTCATCTTCACAAAGGACCTGTGGGCTTCTGAGCCTCGCGGAGGACGAGGGTGTCCTGTCCTGATGCGTCAGAGCCAAGCCTGGGGGAGTCGGGTACGATGGTGGCCTTGTGGTCACAGTGCCTTTCTGGCCATGATTTGCTGAGGCCAGCGGTCCTCCCCATACCTGGGTGGGCCTGGGGAGAGGGCGGCAGGGGTGGCAATACAGGTGACGGAGCGTGTGCCTCGGGGGTCCGTGGGGGCGGCTGGGAGAGTGGGCGTGAGTTGTGCGCCGCTGTCGCAGGGACCGCACATGGCGTGGGTGCGCGTGGCCCAGCGAGGCCCTGGGGAAGGCCCTGCCCAGCTGCAGTGACACTCGGTGAGGCGGCCTCCCGCACCCTCTCCTTGGAGATGTCCGATGCTGGCCCTTCTTCTCGAGTCCAAGGGTCAGCGTCCTCCTCAGCATGGCTGTGCAGCCCCCGTGGGGCCAGGTCCCTGCACCTGCCAGGTGTCACCCTACCCGCCACCCCCAGCTCTCGCTGAGCTGCCTACTGGCTCGAGGACGTGGGGCAGCTCCTCGTTCACCGCGTGGCCTGCGGACGGTGCTGCCCCGGCACAGCCTTGGGGCCCTGAGAGTCGGATTTAGGCTCAGTGCAGCTCTGTCTCCCACGGGCCATGTGGCCGTGGCAAGCTCCGGAGCCTCTCTGAGCCTCGGTTTCCCTGGTTGTGAGGTGGAGCACTCCTGCCCTCTTCCCTTCTCCTAATGCTGCCTGGAAGGGCCACATGGCCTGGATGGAGCCACCCCCTCCCCTGTGCCCTGCCAGGGCGCCTCTCCTGGGCCACACCTCCCTGGCTGCAGGGCTTTGACCCTCGACCACTCAAGGGTTTTATTTTTGTGGTTTTTCCCAGATAACTGAGTTCCTCTGGGGAGCGCTGGGTCCGGTAATTCTCTTGGGTCCCACTCAGTGCTGAGCACAGGCTGGTCACAGTGGGTAGCTCAGAAGAGCTCAGTTGTTTCGGAATTTTTGTTTAGAGACAGGCTCTCACTCTGTCACCAGGGCCGGAGTGCAGTGGTATCAATCACAGTCACTGCAACCTCCAACTCTTGGGCTCAAGCTATCTTCCTGCCTCGGCCTCCTGAGTAGCTGGGACTACAGGCTCGTGCCACAACTTCTGGCTTATTTTTCTGTTTTTTGTGGAGACGGGCGGGGTCTTGCTGTTGCTCAGGCTGGTCTCGTTCTCCTGGGCTGAAGTGGTCCTCCCGCCCCGGCCTCGCAGAGTGCTGGGATCTCAGGCGTGAGCTGCCGCGCCCTGTGGGTTTCAGAACGTGTTTTGAAGGTGTGGAACAGCAGGAGCCGCTTCCTGGTGGGTTCCGGTAGCGTGGAAGTCCGAGCTCCTCACCCCATGCCGGGGTCTGAGGAGACAGGCACATGGCGTACAGCTGCCCTGGGTCCCTCTGAGCGGGGTGGGAGGCACGCTGGCGCTGCCTTGGGTGGGTGTGCCTGGCCTCCCTGGCATCCTGGCTGGGACGCCCTGCCCACCCCATCTGCCGCCTGGGGCTGTTCCTGCTGGCACTCAGGTCTGACTTCCACTGCAGGGTGTGGCTTTTCATTGCTGGCTGCTCTTTCTCTCCACTCCTGAAGGAGAGGAACACCTGGGCAGGTGAGCTGAGTTGTTGGGCTCTGCCCCCTCCTGCTAGCCCCTCCCCTTCAGCAGACCTGCCCCTTGGTGAGGCTCCACCCCTTGATGCTGGCCCCGCCCTCTGCACAGGTGGCCTCCTGCTATGACCTGCCTCTCAAGGGTGATTGATTGCCCTGGGGCCTAGGACAACAGTCCTGGTGTGGGATGTGGGGAGGCGCAGGGCTGTTGCCCACACTGGGTGCTTGGGTGTCGGCAGCAACCATAGTTCAGATGCTGGCCTAAACTGGGGTGCACCAGCCACTGGCCCTGCCTGCTCCCCACTTGTGGAGCCACTGACTCCCACGCATGTCCCTGGGGGCCACTGGAGACCTAAGCAGTTGTCCCCAGCCCTGAAGAAGCTGGGAGAGACGGGCGTGCCCACATGCTGTTGGGGTGGGGGCGGGAGTCTGGCCTGTGTGGCTCCTGGGCTGGCCCTAGTGACCAGGAGGACGGTTCCTGCACTACTGGAAGTGGGAGGGACCCCATGCTGTGGGGGGCCCCGAAGCCCATGTCGGCACAGGGTTCAGGTAGACAGAGGCCACAATGCAGTCCCCAAGTCTGTCCTGCCCATGGTGGCCTTTCCCTGCCCCCCTGGAGACTCTCATGCCTCCAGGGTCTCTCCAGGTCTGCCAGCCCCTCCTAGCAGGCCGGAGCTGGGCTGGGCTGGCCAGCAGTAGGGCTGGCGAGGGAGCTTCCTGGGCTGGGGTCCCGGATCCCACGGCCAGCACAGGGACCCCACCTTGGGACTGCCCCAAAGCCGGTGCCCTGATGCCAGCAGCTATCT